GAATGCTATGCCTATATTATTCCTGACCACTGCTTATCCAGCATCTTCTGGGAAACCTCCAGTGAAGGAGGTTCCACAACTTCCCTGGGCAGTCTATCCCACTACCTTGCTGTTCCAACTTAAAAAGAAGTCCCTCCTGATATCTCATCTAAATCTACTTTGCTACAATTTTAAGTCATTGCTTCATGTCCCACTCTACATCAAAGGAGAGCAGTTGTTCTCCCTCTTCTTTATGGTAGTCTTTCAGGTATTAGAAGACTGCTGTCATGTCCCCCCTTAATCACCTTTCCCCCAAGCTAGACATGTGTAGTTCCCTTAACCTTCCTTGTGTAGTCTGCTTTTCAACCCCTTTAACATTTGTCACCTGCTTCTGAACGCTCCCTAATTCCTCCACATCCTTTTTTAAATGCAGAGCCCAGAACTGCGCAAGATACTCTAGACGAAGCCAAACCACCACTGAGGAGCATGGCACTATCACTTCCCAAATCTGACACCCAATACTCCTATTGATGCAGCCTAAAATTGCATTTTTTTGCAACTGTCATAACTATTGGCTCATATTGAGTCTGTGATTTACCAAAATCTCAAGATCCTTCTCAGTGTTACCACCAAGCCAGTTCTTTCCCATTCTGTATTTGCACTTTTGCTTCTTTTTGCCTGGAGTAGTGCTTGGAGTACAAATAGCATGGAGATGTTTTTACAGCTTGGAGAGAGGCAGGATTGCAGGCTTTGCCTCAAGTCCTTCTTTATTTTCATACCTTATTAAGGGGCTACATTTGTGGGTGGAGGGCTCTTTCAGTTTCAGAAAAGGAAGTCTCTTGCAAACAGCCAACCTTTGTTAGGGGCAAAAGACCCATTTTGTAATATGATAGCATTTCCTATGATGAGATTGCTGGAACAGGTGTTAATATAAAATTCACAGGTTAGCATGTCAGTTGTGTGCTACTGGTAGTTTAGGGGGGGGAAAAAAACGTAAAAGTTCTCAGGGTGGTGAAACAGCCAAGAATAGTGGTAGAACCTGGCGAAAGCTAAAAGCTTGTCTCACCAGAAGTAGCCTTTTTTGTAGACTGTTTTTTTTCAAATGATATTACTCAGATTTGGCCCTATCACTGTTCTATAGGTCAATGTATATTTGGTCAGAAGGAAGTGATTTTCCCCCTCTCAAAGGGAACAGAACTGCAGGATTACTACTCTAATAATAAATCAGCTTGTTGATGTAGGCCACAGGGAGTCCAATATACATTTCTTTTAAGAGGCAGCTGTCAATATCTTTATATTGTGGGACATTGACCTTCAACATGTGGGAGAATGAACTATAGAAGGAAGAAGCAGAAATAAGGGAAACAGGAAATTTCTCATGGTGGGAACTGTTTTTTCAAATGTACCTAAAAAGGTTCCATGCTAGAGCTTTATTTATATAGTCCTTAGCATCTGAGGCCAATTACTCTTGTGCAACTCTGAGCAGGATACCATTTACATAAGAAAGGAGAGATTATAGGACCTTTCACATGAGAATCTGTGGATCCACGTTTTCCCTGTAGAGGTGCTGGCCACTAAGAGCATCAGCCACTGAATAGTAAGCAAAAAATATCTTATTCAGAGGAAAGGGTATTTTTTGTCAATTCAGAGCATCCAAAATGAGAAGGTGTTTCCCCATCCCAAGTGCAATTATCAGTTGAAATGTGATTTGTTTTCTAATACACATTTTGAGTTGTTTTTGCTTATGGTTTCTGAGCCATCTGTTGTTTTTTTTTCTTTGAACATGAGGGTTAGTAACTTAGAAGTAGAAACTCTGATTAGGAGATTTAAATAAAGACTGAGGCATCACATCTATCTTTTCACTAGTTTCATATCATACAGACTGCTGCTCTCACTTTTCACCACAACTAAGGGAGTTTGCTTAGTTCCACTGGCAGGTGCAAAACATTGGAAATTGTCTTACTGGTGTTTGGCTAGAAGCACCAAGACCCACTGGTGGTAGCCTATTTCATCGCAGCTAACAAACATGGTCACAGGTTACAAGTCCCCTTGTACAAAGATGACTTAATATACATTGATTCCTTCTTTGAAAAGAGACACAGATGCAACAAATGCTAGGCAAGATATTGGCAAACCAACAGACAAACCCTCCAACTTTAAAAAAATTAAACAGGTCAGTGATTTATTTGTAAGCGTTAGACTTGTCTAAGTCAGAGAACATAGTCCGTAGGCAACTGTTACAAAGAAAGCATTAAAAATCACTTTGCTTTTTTTTTTTTTACCTTGAAAGCCATTGGCAGCTCAATAATATAGAGATCAACATAATCTAGCTGCAGAACCTTTAACGTCTTCTCTAAAGTTGGACGTACCAGCTCAGGTGGGTGATATGTATTCCACAACTATGGGGGAGAAGCACATAAGACAGTCTTTATTCTAGTGAGATAAATTAGTGACCCTTCTGGAATTAATGAAGTGACTTGATTTCGAACCCTAACACTTCCCAGTTTGAGAGGGCACAATAGATTGCAGTGGACATGGGTGAAGTAAGTCTACACATCATTTGACTACCTATATAAATAAATGGAGAGGCCATGGCTCCCATATCCTCAGCTCCCAAGAATGAATCTACATGAGCAGATGAATTAATTACCTAATTCTTTATCCACAACTCTCACTAGTCTGAACTTGTAGATCTGTTATCGTGGAAGCCACTGAATATTTGTTTAGAAACTGGCAAATTAATTTTAGCAAAAGTTTAGCATACATCAAACTGAATGAATTTGGGAAGTTTGGTTTTGTTTTTGAAGTTTTTAAAGCATATGAGAAGAAAAAGAAATATACTTTAATTGGAAAACTTTGCCTTTTTCCACAAAAAATCTGTGGTCAGTTTTCATGCAGAGCCTCTTTCATTTGAGTTAATGATTTAGGAGCCAAGCATTAGGCACAAATAATCTTGGGTTTTCTGATGCCGCCAGGGCCACATTTTATTTAAAACTCAGAGCCTCATTGGAAGATCTGCTATGTTGATACTAAGTTGTTGTGAGACAAGGATGGTTTGAGTCAAAGCAGAAGCAAATCCTGTTTTCTAGGACATAGCTTTTATTTGCAAGTTAAGTTAACATTATTTTGTTATGGATTATGACTGCTTCTTCCACTGAAGTATCATACCCAGAAGGAAAACCTGCAGTTTCTATGAAGTGAGGTCAGTTGGTGCATGACTTGCCTGGGGTAAGACCTTTTTCAGCAGGTATATATTAACAGCTAGGGGTAGTGGTGATGTGTTTAAGCTTGCAACAGACTCACATACTACAGTGCTGATACCAAAGTGTTCCTCATAAATTTTATTACACGTGTTAAGTCATACAAAAGCCAGTATTAGATTACAAAAGAAATCAACAATGTCCTTTACTTGCACACAATATGAAGTGCACTGAATACAAGATAAGATAGCTTGGGACAAGACCCATTTTATAGTATGCAGTATTGAATTTGAGCTGTGCTGAACTCTTGCCACTTCTATTGATAAACTTTGGGCTATTGGATTAACCATCACCTACCTGACTCAGGAGGCATGTCCCCACAAGTGGGAACGTGGGAATGTGCATATTTGTGCCACTGCTAGTTGTCCCCAGGGAACACCCCTTAATGTGTGCTCTGGCACAGGGCAAGTTGCCCTGGCTGAGGTAGGGGAGGTTGGGGCCAGCACCTGGACTGGGCCCAGCAGCCTTACCTGGAGTCCCAGGGGCTTCTTGGGGCTCCAGCAGCAGTGATCCAGGTGCATAGAGGCTGGCCAGCAGCTGGAGTGTGGCTCCAGCTGGTCAGGCTCTGGTTTAGGTGGTGCATGCTGCTGTTGCATGTGCCACTCCACTTTTTTCTGGCATGGATTTTTTTTGATACTGGAATCTCCAGCTGCGCTGCAAATTAGCGTGGTGAATGCCTGCATGTGTGGCACATATGGTTTGTGGTGCTGCAGATGGGTCTGTAGCACTGCAAACTGCATGTGCATGCCACATATTTAAAACATCTAACTTCGGATGTTGGCTGATATCAAAGGATATCTACACAGGTTGTTACAATGCAACCCTTAGGTCTGTGTAATTCTGTAACAATACAAGGGTAGTAAAACTGTTGTAATTTTAACCTTGCTTTCTTCATGAGCAAATTTGGGATGATTTGGTGACACCTGTTAACTACAAGATGATACAGACATAACACTTACGTAAAAACAGCTGATTAACACTCCGGAGTGGCAGCTCCCTCCCCTTTTAAAGCAGTTAAAGGTACATCTGTCCATATCCTCTGAAGCACTAACAAATTGGTCAAAATTTTCAAAAGCACAGAGGGGGTGATGAGTGTCCAAACTGATACTTCAAAGGAACCAGATTTTCAGTCAGTCCCATGCACCTACCCTCAGGGGTTTCAAGTTTGGCACCACGAGGTTGCGAGTCACTCCTAACTAAGTCTATGCCAAGACTTTTAGGAGAGATCATTATTCTTTTGGGGGGAAAACAGTGATTTTTTGTTTTATATAAATATGAAGAAAAACAGTTTACCATCTTAAAAATGTTTAAGGGGTCACTTGGTAACAGTGGGTTCTTTTTTCCCCCAAAATGTCCTCTCTAGCCCAGTGAGATCATACTGTATAAATACTTACTGGTGTATAAGTATTTGCTTTTTTAAAGTGGTAGAAGTTTCTAGGAAAAACCTTAGAGTAATAGCTCTGAATTGTGTTATCTTGGTATATAGAGGCCAAGAATTTGGAAGTGTTATATAAATGGTTTTCACAATTTGTATAAGTTTATAGTATTATCTTCTTCACTGGAACTCACACTAATATTTAGGCAATAGAAAGCTGCCAGCTGGGTTTGGCATTCTGGTACATCACATTCCCTGGAAATGCTAATTTTAGCTTAACGAAGGAATAATCTGGGAATGAAAGAGGAGACCAAAAAGGTCTTACTGTATATGCCAAAAAAGTTGTTGGCAATTTCCAGAAAACCTCTGAAATCGTTGGATGCTCAGCTACTTTGTCTGATCAACCAGCCAACAGCAAAGACCAGGCTCAAGTGCTGATGATTTCAGTTAACACATGTTGTATGATTATACAGAGTAATTATTTCAGTAATGCTACCACTCATTGAACCTGTTCTTGTTAGTCACCACTGATGGGTCATCATTTTAGATGGTTAAGATTTTATCTGAGCTCCTTTGAGAGGCTGCATAATGAAGCCATCTTTTTTGTGGGATTTCTAATATTTACTATTTTTTGTCCAGTTGGAAACAAGCATAACTTTTTTCCTCTCATGCTGTTGTTGTTCCCCTCTGTTTACTACTGTCTCTTTAATAATGCAAATAATGAAGCTTAGCCAGATATTTGCCTTTTTTCACTTGGTGTGCAGCTGTGTTTTGGGAACAATGGGGTCAGAGTTTTAGCCCCACTTTTGCTGCAAAGTTCTGAGGAGTTGGAGAAATGCAGAAAGACAGCCATAAAAATCTTGGCAGCTATGGAATCACTGCAGTATTTCTTTCTGGCCCTAGGACTGAGGAAGGATTGTAGCGTAAATCTACTAGCAAAATGTTTAAATCTCTAAAATCCAAGTTAATCCTCATTTTATCAAGTAGGGACTAGATACTAGATGAGAGAGAGAGAGTTGTAGAAGAGGTCTTCCCAATCTCCCATTGTTGCAGCCAAGGGTTGAACTACTGACCAACAACAGCCACTGTGTCTTTCAACAGAAGTTATATTCTAAATAGGTTTGGGATAACTTTATTAATAGCACTGACCTTCCTTAAGAAGAACTTTTTTTGATTCAATTTAAATTAATTTTTTTACATGCAGCTTGACAAAGTGCCTTAAATGGTTAAATTAAATTCCAGGATGTTTTGAAGACTTGATGAATGGAGATAGTTGGGACTTAACACAATGTTTCTGTCAAAAGATGGGGATTTGACAAATCTGCAGCTGTCTGAGAGAACTGGTTGGCAGATTTCCTGTTTTTGTGGGTTTTTTAAATTATGATTTTCAAAATGTCCTATTTTAACATTTGATACAAAGTTTGGGGGTTTTGTTTTTTTTAAAAAACCTACAGCAATGCAAATGCACTATAAAAAGATTTAAAATAAAAAAAAAGTTTTCCTTAACCCAAAGCAAAGTGTTTGGCTTGTCAAATTTGAGTTATGGTCCTCATTTCAGGGTGGTAAGAATTTTCAGTCTCCAAACCTTTTCCAGAATGGGAGAATGGTTTCCTGCACAGATCTACTCATGACACAAGGAGTTTGTTTCATGTTTCAGCTGAAACTAGAGGAATGCTACTGACTTGTGCCTTAATTTTGACAGTTTACTTAACCCACAGATTTACATGGTTTTAGGGCTAGTGACCCAGTTTGCAGAGTGCTCAGAGAAAAACTGTTCAGTTTAAAACACGGATTTTACTGACATAGCATCTTCACTGTTCAGAGAAGGCAGAAGGTAGGACAGGATGAAACTTTAGAGACTAACCAATTCAAAGGCCCACTTTGTTAGGCTGTCACCAACAAAAGCTTATGCCTCTCTGAACGAGTTAGTTTCTAAGGTGCCCACCTGACCTCAAGCTAACACAGCTAACTACCTCTCTCTGTTCAGAGAACGGGAGCTACTTGGCTGGCATATTTGTAAGGGCATATGTATGGTGTGACTGATGTTATAATGCTAATGTTTGCCTAGTAGATATTGGATGAAAACTATTAGCTTATGTCAAATACCCTCTTTTGGGGTACTAACTCTTGACTCACAGGTCAAACTCAATCACTTCTACTCATACCTAGCATCAATATCCTCCATTTTACTCCTTTTGTTGGTAAAACATTTAAGTTTTTATTTCTTTTACTTTCTAGGAATGAGTCATTTTTAGCAACTTTTTTAAGAGGTAAAAAGTCAAAGGCAAGATAAAGTTTTCCACATGTTAATACTATCTGAGTCAAACAGAAGCAGAGGAGGGTGGCACCATGGATATTCACTGGTTCAGAGAGGAAGAAGCTTTTGTAGACAACCTACATCTGCATCAGATTATAGAGACTGTTGCCTATGAAACCTTGCATCTCTCTGAACCAGTTGGTCTCTTAAGGTGCCATGGGCCCTGGCTTCTGTCTAAATACTTTAAGAGATGAGACAAATTCTGTAATTTGAAATATTGTATAAAATTAACTATAAATTTCTTTGCCAAAAAAAAGCCCATGTAATGTTCAGACTTTCTTTTCATAGCCCCATGCTTCAAGTGAATTCATGAAGTCTCCCAACAATCTATTAATTCAAACTGGCTCTCAGTTAGGCCTACAACAGTGACTAGCATGCATCTGCAATGCATGGGAACTGTTATAGTGTGTGTTTCAGTTTAAACTTCAAACAGGATTAACAACAGGCTAAGAGGGTCCTTGTTCTGTGTTTGTGCAGAGACTAGCACGACTGGATCTGGATCCAAGACTATGGCTCCTAGGCACTATAGTAGGTTATAGACAAAAAAATCCTGAGGAGAGTGGATCTGGAAGAATATCAGAATGCTTAGTTTAACTGAAATGTTTACAAAAAGCACCAATGCAGCATACTCACAAAATATAAGTTGCAGGACTAATTAGAGTGAGTAATTTGATGCAATTTCTCACCTTGCCACAATAAAAGATGTCTTCACGCTTTATGTTTCCTTCTGCTATCTTCTCTCGGATGGCCTGTCCTACCTCATGCTCATTTCTATAAACAAAGGCTCCATCAATATGACGATATCCAACATCAATGGCAATTTTCACGGATTCTGCACATGCACCTTTGGGAGTCTATAATACACCAAGAGAAAGATTATCAACACGGTTCCAATTTCAGACCTGTTTATCTGCATGGGAATGGCATTACGCCATACCAAAGAGAGAAAACACAAATATTTACACTTCCTCTATAGTCTACAATTCACCAGGTTTGTTTGCTTTCCAGGAACTTAGATTGCAAAAAGTACTTGTGGTGGGGACAGGATAGCACAGCAACTGAAAGAGAAATTTATTTGAGACCAGAAAAAAATTAATGTCTGTTTCACCACAGAACATAGCTGAATCATGCTTAAGTTTCCCTCATACATACTATTTTTTTCAGAAGCTGAAAAGCTGACATGACAATTTATCTTTTTCCATTATCTTTTTCAAATGTAGTGTGATTTTTGAATAGAGTAGAAAACAAAGAGAAGGAAATGTGGGAACCTCACTGGGCACTTTTTTTTGGCTCTGGAAGTCAGTAAAGGAGAAAGATGTCTGAATGTTTTCAAAAATCAAAACTAAACTACCAAATAGAAGAGATTTCAGCCTAATCTGTCCAAAAAATAAATAAAAATCAAGATTTCCCATATACATATAAAAAAAACCTGACAAAACTCTCATTTTCTCCACACGTGTTCTTGGAATACTTAAAATATATCTACATTGCACTTTGCTGTATAGTGAGGATCTCTGAGCTGGCTTTGCACTACCTGCACTTAGGAGGTTTTAAGTAGTCCAGCCAGGGCAGGATGGAGTCCTGTGCATGGAGCATCTTCTCAGGGTAAACTGATTGGCACAGAGCTTTGTACCACTTCTGCATCTAGACTGCTTCTAGTACCCGAGTTAATTTGGGTTTCTCTCTATTGCTCTGAAGTCTATCATATACATGTACGTTTTAATGGGGTGGGGAGAAGAGGCATTTAGATATAGCTTAGTTCCCCTCATTAATCTCCTCTGGAGTTTATTTAACTGCTTAGAAATTATCCCATAACTCTGGGTTGAGAACAATTTGATCCCCTGTGATTAACATAGCACTTGTGGGCAGCATATTCACAATCTGGCTAAGTAGTAGTAGTAAGAGAGTTGTAGTTAGCACTGTTAGTCTGAATTTGATGAAGTGAGCTTCAGCTCACAAAAGCTCATGCTACATACATCTATCTACTTTGGTTAGTCTGTACAGTGCTAATCGACCCTGCCTTCTAAGTAGTAAACAATATTGCTATTAATTTTTTAATGGGTTTTTAAGTCTCTGGTGGTTACAGTCTAGGAAGAAAGTAATCTCTGGACATGTCCAAATGAAAAAAGTGCTACAACTTGGCTGTACTTTAAGCCTCCTGTTGCCTGGGAGCAGCTATGATTACTCATCTCTGGCTAAAACTCAGACCAAGTTTGGGTTTGTTTCAGAATAGTTCAGTCCTTTTCCATTTGCCAACTTGGCATTAAAAATGCACCTAAACCAAACTAAGCAAGCTGTTCATTTAAGAGTGAGAGGGGAGAGATAGAGATTATCACTGCTGGTAGCTTTGAATGATGGCTTATTATTGCCACACTTTGTGTAACAAGGGGTGGATCAAAGGATGCACACGTCATTCTGCTGGCACAGTTTAACTTCACCTTTGGACTGTATCTGATGCTTAAAAAAATAAATTTTATTTACATACATATATATATCTATATATATAGATATAGATATATATAGATATGTATTTAAGCATTATGTAGATATATATTTAAGCATTAGATACAGTGTAAAGGCAAAGTTAAACTGTGCCAGCAGAATGACGTGTGCATCCTTTGATCCACCCCTTGTTACACAAAGTGTGGCAATAGTAAGCCATCATTCAAAGCTACCAGCAGTAGCTGGAATATATATTTCATTCAAGTCCCTGACCAGAGATCTCAACCTACCAGAACTTAAGAGACAATCTAGGGAGGTGACACAAGGACAGATAGTGATGTGAGATTTAACAGACTTTAACCCTAGCTGGTTGAGAACTTGAGGGATGGATAATGGAGCAGAATTTGACTGTTCAGTATAACCCAAAAATGTCTTGGGCACAGAAGACGTACATTCATTAAGATGTATAGACATGGAAACACTTGTTTAAGTCTTTAAGCACATGAAGGTCCAAAGGGACAGTCTGTTCCTGCCTTGTATATGCCAGGGCACAGGGAAGCTGTCATCAGCTAAGAAATCAAAGCTGAAGAGAACAGGTCAAACTGTCTTTTTTTATGAGGAGTATATCAGTCAGTACTTTAGAAGCACCAAACAGGGAACAATGGCAAATTCAAACATGCACTGTATGCTGTCTAAAGTTGCAAGGGCAGCATTTAAGGAAGCCATGAGCCACAACTGGCATACTTGCAATTTTTGTCCTTTGAAGGTATACTTTATGATCAGAATCATTAAAAAGTAGGGTTGCAAGGGACCTCAAGAGATCATCTAGTACAGTGGTTCTCAACCTTTTTTGCTGGTGCCCTCACTCCCGACACACAGTCCCTTGCCCCCCCCCAGGCCATGCTGGTGCCCTTAACTCCCAACCTGCTGCCCCTGTCCCACTCGGGCCAGAGTGCAGTGGATGCAGTGGTTCCGGCTCATGCAGGTGGCACTGGAGTGAATCTGGCCCCAGCATGGGCTGGAGGGAGGAGGGGAGGCCTGTGGCCCCGCCTCCCCCCCCCCTTGCTGCTCTGGGTTGGGGCTGCTGCACCGTGACAGGCAGCCTGGTCATGCCCCCTTCTGCCCCCTGAGAAGCATCTCCTGGCTGCCCTGCCCCTGCGAGTATTGGCACCGGCACCAGTGCAACTGACCCAGCCACACAGCTTCCTTCCTTCCCCCACTGGAGGCGCAGGTGCCTTCCCCTCTAACCGCCTCTGACGCAGCCTTGGCACCCAGCCTCCTTCCCCCAGAGCCAGCAGGCACCCCATTCCCCCTCACCCCACACACAGACAGTCCCCACGTCCTGGACCTCCAACCCCCACTCCTCATACATTTACCTGTATCCAGCTGCCAGGGCTGCTCCCATGACCCTGCCTGGCTGGATGCCAGCCTTGTTCACGTGCGTGCACAGATGCACAGGCACCTGATGCCACCAATCCCTCCAAGCAGCTCCTTGCAGGCTGGAATGCTGCCAGCTTGCAAGGGGAAACTCATGTTTTCCCACGTTTTTCTGGGACTTGCTTGTGACCCTTTCACATTTTTTTTGCAACCCGCTTTTGGGTTGCAACCCACAGGTTGAGAAACACTGATCTAGTACAATCCTTTGCCCAAGGCTTAAATATCCATAGAAAAATGATCTTAGACAAAGGTTTGTCTAACCTATTCTTAAAACTACACAAGCAACTCTGTCACACATCTACCAGCCATGTAACACCAAGACACCAAGAATACCCTAACTTGCCACAGGCAAAGCAGGGGGACAAGGACACTGTCAATGTCCTGCCACTGCAAAGATAGGAAGTGATTGTTAAAATGCACTCCAGAAATGCAAGGAAGAAGAGCTAGAATATATTGCAGATAGTTTCTAGGGTGAAATTCAGAATCTAAGCTGACTAGCAAGCTGAGAGAATCTAGAATTCACAAATTCATTCAGTTCTCATGTCTTCCAGAAGATTGAGCAATCTGGCTGTGCAACCTCAAATTTTACACTAAGCAGGGTTTCCACCTAGAACTCGGGAAAAATTAAAAATGACTTTCTCAGCTGGTGGTGTGGGGCTCTCCATCACTGTTATATGCCCCCCCCCCAACTGTTTGGCAAGCTGATGGAAACCAAGGAATACAGAGCTGCTCAGCCTGTGTAAGCTCCAGGTTAGCTATGTTGATTGAGACCAGTTTCAGCATCTTTAGTATAGATTTGCACGAAACTACTTTTTCATCAAAGAGTAAGTTTCCTGAAAAATGAAAGTTCTTTTTGGGGCAGGGGACAGAAACTATTGCCGGTAAAAGTTTTTTGGTCCAAAAAAAAAAAAAAAAAAAAAAAAGAGAACAGTATTTTTAAAGTTACATTTTATTTTGATATTATGAAATGAAACATTGCATTGAATTGGCAAAAATTTTGTTTAGATGATTTAAAAAACAAAACCATTTGCTTTGAAATAGCATTTTTCATTTAAAAAAGTGACCTAAATGTTTAAATGTTTTTTTAAAAAGCTGAAAAAAATAAAGAGCTCATTTTTCCTTGGGTCAAAAGAAATTAAATTGTCAACCAAAACAAATGTTTCCCCTTTTGATAAAAAGATTAAAATTCCAGCTTCAGTTTGACTTAAAATAAGTTCAGGTTGATTCCTTCAGCTTTAGGCACTAGGAATGAATACAAATATTTTTTTAGGTGCCTGAGACAGTGACACACCTTTCCTTGATGACCACCTGAAATTTTGGTCATCAGGCTTGAAGACCTGATGTCTAGGGGAGAGGCAAGAGTAGTCTGAAGAGGTCAGGGATGGAAGGAATATTTCCTGTTATTAGGGGAACTACTGGAAAAGTGAGGAAGACGGAGGGATTAAATTTTGAGTCTGAGAAAGTGTCAGTCTCCTTTGCCAAGATCAGTTCACAGTCTTTGGAGAACAATTTTCTGCGTAGTCAACAGTTTGAGTTTTAGTGATAGGTTTTCTGATAGATAATGATACAAAATTTCCATACAAGAAAGCTGGGAGGGA